CAGCTTCATCTAAAAAAAAGTTAAATTGACTTAAAATAACAGTAGATGATAATATTTTATTTTGAAATTGACGTCTTTCTAAGGAAATTGCCTGGCGAAATTGCTCTATTAATGAATAAAATGCAATTTTCCAACATTTTGTTTCAATGTCATGCTTCACAGCCGAAGAATAACTAAGATGGATATATTCACAATACTTTTTGGCTAATCTATATTGGTAAAATCTTTTAAATTTTATATAATGACATTAATATAATTTAAATTTTAGGTGCTTATATCACATACCTTAAATAAGAGTTAATTTTAATTTGCCAATAACTTTCTTCTTGGAATCGTGAAGAAATTTCAAGATTTTTAATATCAATAGTAAATTGTTTTGAGGTTTCAGATATTTGTTTCTCCATTGACATGATTTTTGTGAAAAGTAATTTTATATTTTTCGCGTTTTCTAGGTTATTAACATCTTTACAAACAATTCCTTCAGATTGATTAAAATCGCCACCGATAGAAGAATTGGTATGCTTTGTTTGTGTATTACGAGATCTTAACTTTACTTCAGTGTCTTTTGCTGTAAATTCACACCGTTTACTATTCGTTTCATTGGGAATATCTTCGTCTTCGGCATAAGGATTATACAACTTTCGGCCAGAAACACTTGCTCGACGTGAGTTAAGTAACTTTGATGATTTCATAATATGGTTTTTTTATTTTTATTTACACTATATATTTTGTTCGCTTAATATATGGATCAGATCAGAAGTAGCAGTTGTAGCAGTGCAACGATCACAAAATGTTAGAATACTTTGAAGTAAATTGTAATACTAACGTTTCTTAGAGAGGACGTTATCTGTCACACAAGTTCACATGACAATACTGTAATATTCCGATTGGTTCCTGATATCACACCTTTGGAATTTAACAGTTAAAAGAATTTGAGAAGAAAATATTGACTACTTTAATAAATTTGGTGAAACTTTTTTTTTATTTCAGTTCTATGAATATACATAATTAAAATAGAAAATTGCACCGGATTTGGTTGAGCGGTTGCTGAGATATCTTCATTCAAAGGTTTAAAAAATTGTCACAATTGCTATCTTTGATGGATCATTTAAGATTTTAAAAATATCTCTTGTTAAAATTCAATGAATGATGTACAGTATATCAAATATGTAGAATTAAATAAATAAAAAAGGTTTATTCGTTTTAAATTTGAAAATTTTTATCACGGTTATTTTTTATTAAAATTCGATATAAAAGTAATTCTACGTATTGGTATATGTAGAATCTAAAAATGTTCATCGAATTTTAGTTAGATGGTTGTTGATTGACATAGAAACTAGCTAGGTGTAGTTCTGCCGAAAATATTTCATCATCGATTTTTAGTAGAAATAGAACAACTCAAAACCAAAACCAAACCCTATGAATTCCCTTAAATGAGTTTTAAGTTCACGCATAGCAATATCCATATCTCCATTCGTACATATATTGGAATAAATTTCTTGTATCTTTAAAATTTGATCATCTAAACTTTTAAGAGTTGAATCTTTAAATGGATAGGCATCATTTACATTATTTAAATAAGAACTTTTTAGATTACTACCGGTTATCTTATCATATTTTTTTAAAATTTTTGAAAAACCAGTTTTATTTAAAAAAACAAATGATTTAAGTTCAGATAACCAAACGAAAAGATCAATTGCACGTCTTTTTAAGTGTATCCTTTGTTCATCAATAGATGATGGACCCCAAGTAAAATGTCGTCGATCCATAGGTGAACTACTGAAAAAAGCAGTTCTATTTGTTGGAGTAGTTGGAGTATTATAACCATCATCATCATCACTACTAACATATGAAGAAACGACGGACTCTGAGGTTGACTTCCTATGAGAACGAGATCCTCTACGACTATGTCTATTCGCACCTTCTGATGATTGATAAGACCGACTTAGGATAGCCGAACTACTACGGACACTAACAGAATCTTCAAGATTTTGAAATACGGCATAATCTTGAAAAAGTTCAGTGACTTCTTTAAAGAGTTCATTCTCTTTAGAGAGGTAAAAAGTGATAATCTTGTTAAGTTCCTTGTCAAGTGTCGGTATAAATATTGCGTTTGCACGAGTTTTTAAGTCTAGCAGCGGAGATTCTTCAACTGCTTCAACGTCGCTCAATTGAGAGGCCGGTCCTAATATTACATCTTTTTCGATCTGATAAACGAGCTTTTTGAGATTTGAATATCTATAAAAAACAAAAAAAAAAACAAAAAGAGTCAAGGTATTCAACTTTTAC